TGAGCTAAATGGGTGTGTTTGGCCGCTGCCTTGGTTTGTGTGAGTGTGTGTGTGTGTGTGTGTGTGTGTGTGTGTGTGTGTGTGTTTTTGTGGGGGTCATCCCTGCAAATGGGGGTCATCCCTGCAAAGTAAACATTGCAGCGATAAAGTCAATGTTTACTGACAGTTACTTATATCTTGTCTTTTCACTTCATTAATAGGGATGCACCGAAATGAAAATTTGTGGCCAAAGCCGAATAATATTAAACGCTTGGCCGAATACTGAATATTGTTGTTTAGTTTTTCATTAGTTTTTGCAGATGAACCCCCTCCAGATTAGTGTTGTCACGGTACCAAAATTAGGACCTACTGTATGATACCAATGAAAATATCATGGTTCTGAGTAGTATCACGATATCACAGCGAAAATGAGGTAGATGTGCCTTTTGTCATTTATAAAAAGATAAATCACTTTTCTATAATACATCAATGATATTTCAATGGAATAAATTACTTACTGACTTATTCATACTTCAAAAACAGCATCAATCAGTGATGAACATAGGGGGGGATCCAAATAAAATAAAAAAATAAAATAAGAATCAACCAGCCACCCTCCTCCCCTTCCTAAGTAAAGAACAGTCCCTAAAGTGCGGTGAGGTTTGTGGGCCGTGAACGGCTCGTTTCTCCTCCGACACATCACATACCTGTGTTCGGCTGGCTCAGCTGTTCAGGTACTTTTGGGCAGTCATGACACCAAGAAGAGGATATTATTGGAGCTGACTTCTCCGACGCCGGTAAGCCGATGGCCGCCGTATCTGACAGGAATACATTACTTATTCTGTGTCTGTGACCCCCGTTCAACCCACAGCTTCGTTTCTGCTGGTGGTTGAAATCTGTAGGCTGCTCGCACAGCGCGCTGAATGATTTAAGCCTATTTTCCTCACTCAAAACTATTTTTAGTCGCAAATGCAAGTGCCGTGACGGACGGATCGCCACAGTGCCGACATTTTACTCCGCCTGTCACGGCACGCCGTTTGATTGCATTATCAAAACACGCCGCTATTATTCGGCCTTGCTTTTAACTTATTCCACCGAATACTGAATGTGTGTTTTTTTGCAATATTCGGCCGAATATATTCGGTTACCGAATATTCGGTGCATCCCTATTTATTAAGATCAGATTCTGCAGGTAAAATTACAATAATAAGGTGACTTGACTTGGACTTGACTTGACTTGACATAACCTGTGACTTGACTTGCCCAAGAAAAAATGACTTGGGACTTACTTGAGACTTGAAGGTTAAGACTTGAGACTTACTTGAGACTTCCACATGTGTGACTTGGTTCCATCTCTGGCACGAGCTAACGCAGCAGCAGCTAACATGCAACATCCAGCCATTAAACGGTTCCAACAAATTCACACTGAAACCAAAAAGGCTTGACTCTGACATTAAACATGTTAATAACCTTTAGATAATGATAGCCATGTGATGCTAACAGTCAGCTCTGTCACTGTTCGTATGCAGCCAGCAGACTCATAACTGTCCTTGGTGCAAAGCTCACACTCAGCAGCAGCTACAATCCATACAGTCTATGGTGTGGTGAAGTCAAGTGTGGATGGATGGATGGATGGATGGATGGATATCTGTTAAGTCATTTTGTAATGATGAGCTGTTTAATCCTCATCTCTGCCATCATGATAGACAGTCAATTGTGATAACGATGTAACAGAACCATCTGTTTAATATGTAATCAGAATAATTGTACCCAGCTCAGTACAATGCCCAGCCACTGCCTACAACACTAAAACACCTCAACAGATATGCATCTAATCCCATTTTCACACCTGTACCAGACTTAATGTAAACACACAGTTACCTCTGCTTCCATAGCCTCCTTCAGTTTGAGCGTGTGTCGTGTGATAGCCTGCAGGGCTGCCTCCTGAGCTCCAATGGCCTGTAGAGTCGCTTTAGCCGAGCTGGCCAGTGAGTCTTCAAGACTGGCTGATACAGCTGCAAAACAGTCACACAAAAACATCAGAGGATGACAGAGAATGTTTAGCAGGATGGAGAGTAGAGCAGCTGAAAGACAATTCACAGTTGATACAGTGAATGTGCATGCCTCCTTCTTCTGGAAGCTAACAGAGCTAGCTAAACATTGCTTAAAGTTCTACAATCAGCTTAAAAGTACCATTTTCTGTTTTTTCCTGAATCACAAGGTGTTTGTTTTCAATGATTTGCCAATAAAAGAATTGTAGTACTTGCGTTACGTTCTAAAACCCCTACACTGGGGTGCAACAAGATACAAGCACCACCATTTCATTTAAAAGTGTGGCCAGTTTACTGTATGATGGCATAAACTGTACAATACTGAAAGAGAAAACAGTATTTCACATATGCCAATTTATAACCTTTTTCCACCAAGAATTGTGGGGAAAACCCCATAAAAAATAGGTGATAGACTGCCTTCCCATTGCCTGCAGACACAACCATAAAAGATTGTGCATTTCTTTTTTTCCCTTCTGGTGCGTCTTGTTCCATCTCACACACGCCCGAAAATAAGTTAGGAAATGGCAGAAAGCAGCATGTGAGCCAGTGAAAATGAAAATGTTGTAGTTACTTCTTTTTTAATACATCTTATTCAGTCTCTCTCTCTCAAACTCGGTGGAGTGATGTTTGAGCACTGCTTGGACGGAGATGGACGATATTTTGTGGTTGCGCGTCATTGTATCTCACGATCAATTAAAAAAAAAAAAAATAGTGCTTCCACCTTCAGTCGTACAGACAGAGCTGATAAATACCTTTGATTACTGAAGAGTCATTTAACCCAGGAGTAAATGTTGACTGTAACCTTTCCTATACAAAAGTCAGATGGTAGTGGGTGTTAGTGGGTTTTTTGTTCAGTGTGTGTGTGTGTGTATATGTGTGTGTGTGTGTTGTTGCCAGCCTACATGCTAGGGTGTCCAGCTCCTCCTGGTCTTGTTGAGCCAGTCTAGCTGCCACTTCCTCTACCGATCGCTCTTTGAGTGGTTCTGTTGCCGCGGGTGACTCTGTGTCAGGGTGAATAGCTGCTGTCACTGGAGTATCCTCATGGCACTCTTTGCACTCCTCTGGAGAATATGCACATATGGACACAATGTAACCTTAATTTCACTCAAATCCTTTCGGTAATCCAGTAATTAAAAGGAGATAAATACTGCATAACTGTTTCCTTTGTAACTGGTAGTCTTCCTTCAGTGTTTCACCTGACAGTGTACTAAAAGAAGGCTATGTGTTTGGTTTGTGTGCAGCATGAAATAACCTGCTTTAGTCTTTTAAAGATGCGGGAATTTTAGACCTTCCTGTGGCATTACATTCACTCATTTGAAAGTCATTGGGAAAGCCCAAAGGCTCTGAGTCGCAAGAAACTGTCATCAAGTCAGGGTCAATCCATTCTACATTTATCCATGCATGCAGTGATTTCAGTGTCCAAAGGTTGAATTTCTGCCTTTACTTTAAGATATCACAGTTTTACCTTTGACGGCTGCTACCTCCGTGTCACATGGAGCAGGGACTGTTGACACCTCACTCATGGCTGAGATGATGTGAGTAGCCTCTGCTGAAGCCTCTGGATGGGACACAGACACAGAAATGTACAAGCAATTTGTGTGTCACTCACATGTGTAGACCTTTAATGAGCCCTTGAACAAATTTAAAGAAACAAATTGCTGCATGCACAAACTATACTGCCTTTATTTGATAGGACAGTTCATAGTGAAAGGGGGAACAAAGTGGTGCTAACATGCAGCAAAGGGTCACACGTGGGAATTGAACCTGCAGATTCTGCGGCAAGGACATAGCCTCAGTACATGCAGCACCAACTCTACCAGGTGAGCTACTATGTACCTCCAAACTACATTCTACCACTACAGAAATCTAACAGCAGTGCAGCTAATGACTATTTGGAGAAGCAAAGTCTAAAGGCAGCAGGTTCTGGCATTTTGTTTTAAAAATGATTCAAACAATTAATTGATTATTAAATCAACAGATTTATCAATTAAAGGACTAAAGGGCAACACACATCAGTGATACTGGTGACGAATGATACACTGCAACCCGCTCTCATGGCCTTACATAGAAAACAGATGCTACTGTCCCACTGTTAATACTGTATGTTGGATGTGGGGATGCAACAGTTTGAGATTTTCACGGTACGATAACTGTCTCAGAAAATATCACAGTTTCACTTACAGCATTCGTATTATTATCAGTCTTTAAGGACTGTAAAGAAAGGGGTATTGCTGGTTGAACAGATATTTATTTCTATAATTGAAACCTGAAACCATTTTTTGTGTAAAAAAGCTCCCCTTTAAAAATAATTAAAGAAGGAGGAGATTCAGTGTCCAGTTACATTTTTTTTCAATATTGTAGATAAGCAAATGAACACAGCATAATAACCCTCAACTTTTATATCACAGTATACCTGGAAACTGGTATATCACTGCAGCCCTAGTTGGCTGGTTATTCTACTGTAAAATGTTTAAGCGATCCCTGATTTGTCAACCATTTGGTGAAATTTTTAAGATCCTGTTCTTTAACAAGTTTTGGAAGTTTTGTGTATTTTTAGGATTTAGTGGCATCCATCTGTCAGGTTGCAAACTGAACCAACTGAAACTTTTCCCATGTGACGAGTATGTAGGAGAACTACAGTGACTGACATGAATGCGCAAATGCTTCTGTCTAGAGCCAGTGTTTGGTTTGTTAATTCTGGGCTACTGTAGATACAACATGGCAGACTCCATGGAACAGGTCCTGCTCCGTATGTACATACAAACAGCTCATTCTAAGGTCACGAAAACACAACGATTCTTAGGGTGCTTTCACACCTAACCTGTATGGTTTGGTTAAAATGAACTCAGGTCTGTTTGCATGGTGAATATGGTTCGTTTGTACTGGTCTGAAAGCTGTCAGTCTAACCCTGGTGCGGACCAAACAACCAAACTTAGGCTGATAGAAAAGGTGGACTTCAGTCTGATTCTAAACAGACTCTGGTGTGGTTTGTTTGTGGTATGAAAGAAAACAAACCAACCACAGGACTTTATGGTAGCAGATTTGTGGTTTTAGCATGATTTCAACAGCTAGACCAGGGGTCTGCAACCTTTGCCATTAAAAGAGCCATTTTTGACCAAAAATAATTTGAAAAAAATCTGCGTGGAGCCGCAAAACATGTTTGAGCCTTATAATTAAGGTAAATAGCCTATTATGTCTAAATTACCTTATACTTATGGTCTAAATAAGCATTCGTTAATATGTTTTACCACAAGGTGGACACTGTGCAGGGCACTATCTATGATTATTTGGTACTTAAATTTTGCAGAGCTGGCAGTGAGAGCAAACAAATCTGTCCACACACTACTACATTCTCTATTTATTCAATTTACTTTTTTGGGTTTGGCATCCATAGCTAACCAGCCACTGCTATCGAGGTTCAGCAACATTTGGATTCATAGAATCAATTTCCATAGAATTCTTTTCTCAAAGTCTCAAGGAGCCACTGGACAGGGGCTAAAGAGCCACATGTGGCTCCGGAGCCACAGGTTGCCTACCCCTGAGCTAGACCACTGACAAATCCTCCTGCTGTTCCTGAAATCTGTCTGTGTTCTCATAACTGATCCTGATAAATGCCATGTATATCCCATAACCTATTTATGCTAATGTGGGGAAGGTATTTTTCCTGATTAAAATGCTGTTAAAACTGTTGTAATTTTATCAGACTCTGTTTACTGTGTCTTTTCACTTAGTCTATTAAAAAGTATGTGACAGTGATCCTACATTATTAAGCCCTGAATCATTACTATACAAGACGCCTTCTTTTCATCCTGTCTCTAAGTTAGTCATTATTCATAACATGCCATTGATTTGCAGTTTAATAATAGCCTCCTAATAATGCGTACAATCAGTTATTTCTATATGAGCTCTTTGTGAAACCAAAGAACAGAAATATCAACACTTTAGAAGCATTAAAGTGCTACTGCAGAAACATCTGAATCACCAGTGTTTGATTTCCCCATGTGGGTCCTGATGATGCAGGATGAAAACCTGTCAGTCATTAAGACTTCATGTTTACTCCTCTTGGTTCAGTGTGAACAAGAACTGAACCAAAACTAAAATGCAAAAATGTTTTTTTCTTCCTCTGGTGCAGACCAAATGAACCCAACTACAGGTGTGAAGGCACCCTATATACTTATGAGTATTATATTCCATTTCCGCCACTGTATCCCCCTAAATCCTACACACTGGACCTTTAATGCTGATGAGTGTTTGGAGTTGAAAGACTGAAAGCCTGCAATGTTTCAATTAAATTAGTATAGTTAAATACTTTAGGCCAAAGTTTTTAATAGTCATAGATTTTTTAAACATTAATAAAGATTAGGAAAGTGTTTGTCACAATAATAATAATAATAATGGATTCATAAAAACAACATAAAACAATCAATAAACACATTGTTTAAATACAGGTTGATGGATACCTAAGTAAAAAATGGAATTTCAGTTGCTGCCATGTTGTTCCACGCCGCCGCCTGTGTGTGTTGCCCTTAACTGTTTCAGCTCTTAAGTGTAGGGAAAAGCAGAGGAGCACAGTGTTCTACAGGAAAGCTAAAGTATACAGGTACAGCTTACCCTCAGAGATCTCTGTGGATGCAGAAAAATTACAGAGGGCACATGAAACACTTGGTAAAATTGTGTAAATGTTAAATATGTATTTGTATAAGGACATATGTTGTAACTTGGTGTGATCAACCTCCATAAAAATAGTGGACTACATTTCCAATCATTGCTGGTATTTCTCTGATATTGTCCATAAACATAATGACACCACTTGCAGCTATATTAGCATTGTTTTCATACGGGATTGTGGATTTTGTATTTATAGATATACTGTAGGACAAGCTGGTATGCAGACACACACCACTGATTTCTGCAGAAGTAGAGTCAGGTGGGACTTTTCTTCTGGACGACTGCTTGGAGCCATCTGCACTGACGTGGTGTGGTCTCTTTAAAATGGAGCCAGCAATTTCTACACGCTCCAACTGTCGGTCTGAATGCAACTTCAGACAAAATTGGACACCTTGACATAAGACCATTTTGGAACCTCTGGTGCTGTTTCAGAGCCTTTTCAGCCCTGACAAGAACTCAGTTTGATCCTGATACTGGAAAGTACACCCAGTTATTATTCTGTATCTTTGTAAAAATAATGACTTCTTCTGGAAATGTCTGCATTACACACTTCAGAATTGTTGCTATGACAGTCTAGAAGAACGGCCTAAATAAATTACTGCACTTAATCCTCAAAGCAAATGGTACAGTAGTCCAACATTTTATTCTGACACTCTTCCCCAGTATCAGCAACAGCCCTGCATTGGCTCTGGTTGTACCAGAGACAGGAACTTCAGTGATTCTTTTACCTGTTAAACCTTTGTTCTCTCTCATCAAAAAGATTCACACATTTTATAATTATTATAAATAGTTAAAGTAGTAAATATACTGTTAACACTAGCTATGGGCATTATTAAGATTTTAACAATACTACTACTCTTACTGATACTGCTTTTAGATCTGGTACTTTAACAGTGCTCTTATTGGTTCTATTGGGATTTTTAAGAGAAAAACCCCCAAAACAAAATAAGAACAGAATTAACATTGCTTTATTTTCTTTATTGTTATGTAAATTAACATTCTGCTACAGCATCATTTTGAATCTAATTTCATTTCAATTTTATTTCCTAAGTCCAATTTCACAAGTCACAATTTGCCTCAAAGGGCCTTAAAGCATATGACATCGCTCTGTCCTTGGACCCTCACAGCGGATAAGGAAAAACTCCCCAGAAACCCTTTAACAGGGAAACAATGGTAGAAACCTCAGAAACCTGAATGAATTACTATAATAGACCATTACATACCTGAGGTGGATGGAGTAACAGGAGATCAACTATGAACTAAGTGGTTAAAAACAGTGCATTTCTCCGCCTATATGTGCTGCACTTTTGTTGTGGCAACAAGCAGTGTCTGCATCAACTCTTGTCAAGTATGACTATACTTGGGAGCATTTTGCTCTCTCCACCATTGTCACTAAGAGCAGGGCCTCTGTGCATGTGTGTGACACAGAACTGGCCCTGCCCCTCACACATGCAGCAGACTGTGAGGCTCCGACACAGAGAGCTCTCCTCTGGATTGAATAGCAAAAATGCATCATTGACGAATGTCTTAATCTTATTGCAAATTAGAAATAGAGTTGGTGAGATAAAAACCGTACAAGATAACTTTTAAGTAACCTAAATAAACAAGAAATATATCTTCTGAATTTCTCCAATACAGATGGCACAACTGTTAACATCAGAGCTTATCAATACTATGGTCTTTAATTAATCGGCCCCAGGGCCGGTTTAATACCAGGGTGCAATACCCATCCCTAGTAAACGCTACGTATGGTGATATCTGAGGCAATATCACCATACTGGAAATCAGGCTGGTGGTACTATGCTGACACAATACTGCCGTCCAGAGCTCCCCTTTCCCACACTTACTTGTAACTACTATAACAGCAGTTGCCAGTAACTCAAAAAACTGCAGGTACATAATGTATGAGTCCGTACCAAGTCAGAGACTTACCCTCTATGGTCTGTGCAGGCTGTGTTGGGACAGGACTCGTCTCTTTGGCTGGACTCTCTGCTGCCTCTTTCACCATTTTCTCTGACTTAGCTTTGGACGCCTTCAGTGGTTTCTCCATCATAGAGGGAGGCTGGGCTCTATCCACCTAAACACCAGAAACAGTAGCTGTTTAAAGCGAGGTCTGAGAGTCTCACAATGTTTTGGAATGAATCCACATATCAGTCATTTCTGTACAAAGTCATATCCATCAACAATGGATGCTGATTGAATATGTATCTGACATACTTAAATAACAGCTGAAATCTTATTTTTCAAGTGCTAGATCAACTTTGTCCATATACTGAAGGTCCTGATTCAAAACTTTTAAGTTGATAAACCCTAAATTATTGATCTGATATTAATCAATCAAATCAATTAATTTTATTTATAAAGCCCAATATCACAAATCACAATTTGCCTCACAGGGCTTTACAGCATACAACATCCCTCTGTCCTCAGGACCCTTGCAGCAGATAAGGAAAACTCCCTTTAACAGTGGAAAAAAATGGTAGAAACCTCAGGAAGAGCAACTGAGGAGTGATCCCTCTTACAGGACGAACAGACGTGCAATAGATGACGTAGGAAAGTTTAACTGAAAGAATGCAACTTCTGAAATCAGTGAGGCTGTCAGCTAGAAAGGAGAGGTCCATCTACAGTCCAGTCTTATTACAAAGTGATTTTTCTAATAATCTTTGGCAGAGAGAATGAATGGACTTTACTGGCTTCATTTCAGCCGATAATGATCATTAAAATGTGCTTGGACTGGCCCTGATAATGGTACTTTGGAAATGCTCAGGACATCTGTAATTTAAAGTAATTTCATCTCCCAGCTCTCTTCAGGAGTGGATTTAATTGTCTTTCAAACTCTGTTGTATTTTCAAAGCAGTTTCATGTAATGAAAACAAAACACCACCGAGCCATAGCACACTACCCAAACATGCTGTGAATCCATCCTGACCTGTTTCTTGAGGCCGCCATCTTGAGGAGCAGGTCCCAAAGCCAGACCCAGCAGCCAGTCTGAGTATGGAACATTGCTCTCCACGGTAGCTCTGAACTTGTGGTCCCATTTAGCGTAGAGTATTGTACCTCCAATGCCACCGCCTACCGTCAACAAGCCAGTAGCAACCACTTTAGCGGCACCACTGTGGTGGAAGGGGACAGCAAAGGATGGACATGAGTCTGATGTCAATATGTGGTGTCATGATGTCATATGCAAGCTCTCCATTTGACTCACCTGAAATTTGGCACAATAAATCTCTGTACAGTGTGTGTGCGTTAGTGTATTACCTGGGCTCTCCTGACGTGTAGTGCCGGCAGTGTTGCAAATTGGTTAGAGGGGTTCTCCCACAGTTCTTCTACAGAGAGGACGAGAGAGGTGAACAGAGAGAAAGAAGGAGAGACAAAAATTAAAATTAGACAAACAGTTCATGGAGTAGTGTAGCTTGACTTATTTTTAACTATAATTTTTGGGGCTAATGGGCTACAAATTATTTCTGCTCTTCTTAAAAGATTCACGTAAAAACTGAACTATGATTAACTGACTATGATTTTACACCTAAAAAGAAAATATATCAATAGAATTATCTACATGGTTTCATACCATATACATTTGCTTGTTCATGGTATTTGGAAAAAAAAAGTAACCTCAATCAATCAGATGCAATCATCTGAAAGCTTTATTTAAACTCTATCAAAGCATTTGTTCAACCCAAAAAAACACTTTGCATTCATTTAAGGGTGCAACTGACAATAATAATAATAATAATAATAATAATAATAATAATAATAATGATAATAGGAAGAGGAAGAAGAAGAAAAATGAATCAAAAGAATAAAGGACGAAATAATAACAACCGTGTAATTCTGTGTACTGTGACATCTTCTGGGACCTTTTTTTTATAGTTAAAATCTCATACTAAAGCAATCCCACATGTGACACAATCATGAGCTGTTTGTGTTTTTTTGTTTTGGTGGACTTAAGACCATTTCACTTTGTTTGACAAAAACATCCTATTTTATTCTGTTCTATTGGACATGGCCAAAGTTTTGGCAAAGATGAAGTGAATGGTGTATAAACCACACTCTCACAAATGCATCAGTCAAGCCCTTGAAATAATGACCATTTATTAATTTCATAATTCTTTGTCGTTAAAGATATATGTCAAGTAACCATAAGTTTGACTGAAAACAAAAAACACAATGTAATAATGTATTGTGCTGTGAGCTTAACATTTAACTTAACATTTAACACCATACTACAGACAGTAGAGGTAGGAAAGATTTTTTTGCTTATATTCGATATGCCGATATGTAACAACTCATTTGACTGATCGATACCACTATCGATATATCCACTTTTTTCCACCCTAGTTTTAGTGATCATCACGTCTCTTCTGTAGTGGAATCAACATCATCATATTATGCATGCATACTCTTACCGTGATGGCCCACCAGCAGATGGAGACATGAAATACAATACCTTTCAATGTATGTAATATTCGTTCAATGTGCAAAAAAAGAGAATTGTTGGCAATTTCTGATAGTTCATTTTAAGCTGATATTGGCTGATATCAATGATGTACCAATATTATTAGCATGTTGGCCAATTCCAATATTTCATTAAAGGCCAATACCGGCGGATAGCAATGATGTCCCGATATTATTGTGCATCTGTATTACTGTATCGATTTTCCCCCACCCCTCATAGGCAGGCCATTACAAGTATTGTCACTCTTTACATACAAGTATATTATATAATGTTATATATTACATATGTTTATCAAACTATAGAGACTGGACATTACGCGAAGCTAAGTGATCATTTTGTGCAACAAGGCGGAACGAGACGCCCGTATTTACTTCTCCGTGCTGGAGCCCTGTGATATCACTGTGTCCCTCCTGCAAACTGCAGTGGTGACTTTGAAGAAATGTGACTCTAGATCTTTTTCAAACGTGAAGCCGATAAGTTAAAGCACAGTTGTGCAGGGGCTTTACAATAACATGAAGTTAAGCCAGAAATGAAGTCAAATCATCTTCCCGGCTTTAACGTTAGCCTTATCTTTACCCTGCATGGACCGGACATTTTTTAAATGATTGTGTAAAGATTGCCATGATCAAAAAATGTCCTAGATTCAGCCATATTAAAAATTGTTGACGTTAGCTGTTATAATAGACGATACACGTTTTTCCTTTTACTGACACGAAATAACAATGAAATGTGACAGGATCACAGCAGCGATTTCTTGCGAGTTCGTCAATGGCCTCTTCAGTAAAACTTAGCTAACGTTAGCTCAACGCGTTAGCTTACTTATGGTTTATATGCCATTAGCCGTATGTCACTGGAAGCTAACCAGCTAGCATTGACATTACTTATTGTTCTAATGGGCTCTTTCTGATGTCAACTTGAATAAAGTCCCATGTTCATTCTAAAACCTAACGTTAGCTATGCAAGTGTTGATAAACCAACCTCGTATACAATAAAATCCACTGTGGCACCTTGGGCCAGTCTGTGGGTCACTGAATGACAGCAGGCTAATGCCAGCATGGTAACGTTAGCTCACGGTAATAAAGGAGTGGTTTGCTGCGAGTACACGAGTCTTACCCGGGCTGTGGCATTAGCTCCTCTCAGACAAGCCCTCAGCATGGTCCACTATCACTTCTTTCCCAAATGCTAATCAATTTAACCTGTACAGTTGCACTTTCTCCTCTTGTCCTTCTTTTCGTTTTCTTACCCCAGACCTTCTTCTCTTTTATTTGGGTAGTTTAATCGCTTGTGTGCGCAACACTGCCCCCCAGTCAGAAGTAGAAATGAATGCAGGCCTCTCTCAACCGCCACTGTGGAGTAACCAAACCCTGGCCGGTGTAGTGACAGTTTGCGCTACCTTCTCAGGGTGGCCTACCCGTCCAATCAGACAAGCCCCATGAACTTGGCTTCTCATTTGTAATGACCTGACCTAACCTAACAAAAACATTTTAGTAGCTACCCAGGTCAGATGTGGGAATAATAGATAAACTACCTGTATAAATGTAGTTAGATGTGGAGTAAATCATTCTATCAGGTACAAATATATGGGTCACTCTTGCATTCGGTGCAGTTTGAGTCCCCATGACATAGCATGGTATATTTTGTCTAAAAATGAGCTAAACCTTCTTTCTAAAAGCTTGTCTTAAATCATTAACCCACTACTACCATATAACAAACTGATATGTATGCTGAATTAATGAAATTTGAAATAATTACTAATTCTAGCACAAGTAGGTGAAACTGCCATGTCCCTAATCATGTGTGCTCAATTTAAATTACAAATACAAACAACAGAAATCAAACAAATTATATATTTTTCATAGTTGTTGTATAGCCTAATTTATAATATTCCTCAATAAATTTTATCTTTTCTTATTTAAAATTTTTAATGCTTAATTTTTTTAATGTGTTGTGTCCCTGAGTTGACTGTCCCCCCTGTTACTCTGACGCAAGTCCCCCAGAGCAGGCCTCCTGACTTTTCCTCATCCGTCACGACTCAGGGTGTAGCATACATTTTTGGCAGGAAAATACTCTACAAGAAGCAAGGTAAGTATGTCATCAACCTTTTTTCTGTTTTAGAATGCTTGTCTGATGTGGTAAAACATACCATGTCTGCCCTGTTCTGCTTATTCACTGTGGAAACAGATAAGTTTTGGTAATTTTGAAAATATGGTTAATAAATATGTTAAAAATCCTCCTCAGTTATCACCATGTGCTCGCTTCTTTTTCATCATATGAGTAGTAATGGCTAACTTTAGCATATGTCCCCCAGTTAATGTTTTGCACTGTAACAGGGTGGGATTAAGTGGGTTCTTAACAACCAAACAAAGCTGACACGCTGATTCAACTTCGCAGCTGCTCTAACTTCGCAGCTGCTCTGGTTACCAAACCAAACTAGGTTTTAACTCAACTATTATACCAGGATAACAGGATGAGTAACAACTATTCAAAGTTCTGGACATAAAAGACAATGAGACATTCAATTTCTTTTTTTATTTGAAAGTTGTCACCATGAAGGAAACAGCAATAAACACAGCAACAATTGCATTAAAAAACAACCAAAATAAAAACAAACCACAGCCCACTGAAGTGATGCTCTTCAGTATTTAAAATTGAACATTCCAAAGGAAAAAAATTCTTAACATGAATCATTAAAGAGGAAAATGCTTTGCCTTTGGTTTGCTTATCTCCATTAAACAATTTAACAAACCCTTTGAGTTTGGTTAGTTTCTATGTATTCTTGTATTCTATTTAGCAAGCATAAGCAGGATGTGATTTGCACATAATGGACATCAACAAACCTGGATGTCTGCTCTATCAGGCCACAGATTAGTGCTACAAGTGTTTGCAAACACCAATATTAAACATGCAACTGTCAAATCTTGCCATAAAAGAAGATTCCCTGAGCAGGTTCGTGATCTGTAAAAGGCCCCGACCTATGGATTAAGAAGCACTAGTATAAATGGAGGAAGAATACAAAATATGTTACAGTGTTGAACAGATAATTTCCAGCTGAGACACAGACACAGCACTATGAAGCTGTGCCAACGCATCACTGCTTCAAGCAGATCAAGTAACTGGTACCAGGAACAGAGTCATTCTGGGTAACGTGGTGGGCTGTGAAGAGTCTAAGTGTCAGGGGGGAAATGACTGTATCAGTTGTCAAGTGTGTCAACGCGGATTTTCTTTTCCATAAGAACTATGCCATGTCAGGCTCCACTGTGGTTTCAGTCCTCTGTACTTTAACTGGAGTGCCTGAATAGTCTTCACCCTGCACAAGAGACAACAAGCAAACAAGGTCAGTAAAAAACTACTTCATAAAAGGGTTTGTTTTTTTCCTCAGGTTTCAATGAGGATATCTACCTGGGCGTTTGTGTTTCCAAGTACTGTATATGTATGTTCCACAGCACAGATTTACAACAACATATAAAGATACAATGGATGAAAAGACTCCACAATGCATGCCTGTCATATCCTGGTTATGTATTGTGCATGTCATAATTATATCCTGATTTTAGAAACCTGAGTAAGACTGTATGCCAGTGTTACCGCGAGAGGAAATACCCACATTTACGCCCAGGTAGTTAAGGGTTAGGGTTAGTTATTTAGTTGGTTCATTGTGAATCATTTAACCACCAGCAATATTTTTGACAGGTTAGGCATGTTAGTCTATAGGATCAAGTTGGAACTACGCAGGCTGTACTAATGTGTACACAAGCAAACCGACCGTCATCCAATAGGTAGCAGATACTTTTGCAGTGAAAGATAAAACAGTTGTGTTTGTCTCATTTGTATGTGATTATTTATGCATACATTTAATATCTGCAGGTTATTTTTACTTCTGCGGTGGTTTGTCTGTCACTCTGCAGTTAGACCTCCAAAACATGCAAATTGGCTTCACTATAAATCGCAGAACTGACAGACAAACACTTGTCTTTAGCTGGACACATTTCCCCCACCAATACAACGTGCTAACGTTATTAGCACAAGTCTATGGCATTTTACATCGTATAAATTAGCCTAGCATCTAGCAATCTTTTCCTCTTCTCATATAAAACCAGGGACAACAGCAACATTCAACAAAGGTAACGGTACATAATTTGGCTCCATTACAACTCACAAGATTCACCGACAAAAGAACTGTCTTATACTGAACAGGTTTTCCAAGCAAATACAACATACTAATGTTATTAGTGCCAGCCTATGGTATTTTACATGGTATACATTAGCCTAGCGACGAGCGAAGATTTCCTCTGCTCATATGAAGCCATAAGAAATCCCTAAGTATAAATCCCTGCATGTAAATGCACTTTGTTTAAAAGTGGTTGTTAATTTCCAGAGGAAATCATTAATTCTTCACTGGAAACATTAATGTCCATATGTTAAATTGTGCATCTTTGCCTGTAGGCAAATCTAACCTTTTGCATATTCAGGTAAGCTGCTGTGCTGACAAAAAGACTCCCTCTTTAAATTAACTAATTGAAAGTGTATCAACAACACTGTAACTAATTAAACAGTTTTCCCCCATGAACATTCAGTTGCTTATAATTTCTGCTACTTGAAAATGTGACTTGACTTGAATACATTTGTTTGCACTTTGTTTGGATCTAATATGGAAATTTGCCTGAATTCTACTAAACAAAAGTGACTTAATATAACTTACCTCCAGTGAAAGGCTGTGTGTGGTGACAGAGGCTGGGGCATTCTGGGAGTCTGGCAAGGTTGGGAAGTCCAGTTCAATGTCCATTACGTTGAGACCCAGCTCATCACTTGAGAAACAGAGGATAAACAACACATGAACATGACCAACAGCTGACTGGGCCTGGACAGAATGTATACAGGATCTATTCTTGTATCTCTGTTGAGGACCAAATGTCTTCTTACTAGGGGTGGGCAATATGGCTCTAAAATATTTCAGGATATTTTAGCAAATTAGTAAAAATAAAAAAGATTTTATAATTAATTGAAGAAAATAGAATTGCAACAAAATAAGTGACATAGTTTTACATGTTAAACCAACAGTTTGCCTTCAAATATTCAGTAAAAAATAAACAAAAAATATCTCTCATTTCTTTAGTTTGTAAACAACGACAGTCACTCAGAGTGAGATTCAGATTCTGTATACAATATTAATAGTACAACAAAACAAAATCGACCTCATATTACACATTTAAACAGTTTGCTAATACAAAGGTTGTACCCTGGGATCTAAATACACTGCTCAAAAAAATGAAGGAAACACTTAATGGTCACAGTCTAACACCAAGTCAGTTAAACTACAGGGATATCATTCTGTCCATTTAGGAAGCACAACTGATTGTGAATCAGTTTCACCTCCTTTGGAGCAAATCAAAGTGACAACAGGTGCAATGGAGAGACAAAAGCAAGACAGCCTCCAAAAAGGGAATGGTTTTGCATGTGATGGCCACAGACAGTTGCTCTCTCCTAATCCGTGTCTGATTCTCCTCTAGTTTTGTGTTCTACTAGTGTCCTTGTCACTACTGGTAGTATGAGGCGGTACCTGCAGCCCAATCAGTTTGCACAGGTTGGCCAGCTCCTCCAGGATGGCACATCCATATGTGCGATCACAAGAACGTTTGTTGTGTCTTTCAGCACAGTCTCAAGAGCACGGAGGAGATACCAGGAGATTGGCCATTACAAGAGGAGTGCTGGACAGGGCCGTAGAAGGGTTATCAACCCAGCACCAGGACCAGTATCTGCTCCTTTGTGTGAGGAGGAACAGGAGGAGCACTGCTAGAGCCCTACAAAATGACCTCTGCAGGCTACTGGTGTGCATGATCTATCAGAAACAGACTCCATGAAGGTGGCATGAGGGCCCAACATCCTCTAGTGGGACCTGTGCTCACATCGCCACAGACTATTCAGGAGCTCACTGATGGCCTGATCCATGTCTGGTAGGAGATCCCCCAGGACACCATCCGTCGGCTCATCAGGAGCATGCCCGATGCTGTCAGGAGTGTATACAGGCAAGCGGGGGCTGTACACACTAAAATTCATTCATGCAAGTGGGAGCAGGCTGTGATTTCAATTATTTACTTTGATTTTTATATGTGTGATTTTGAATCTAGTCCTCAGTGAGTTGATGATTTTGGTTTCCACTGACTGTTGTTACATCCTTTTGTTCTTAACAAATTATACAATGTGCATCAGTAAAGATTTTCAACTTGAATAATTCGTTCATCAAGATCTGATGTGTGATTGAAGTGTTTGTTTAATTTTTTTGAGCAGTGTATATAAATCAACAGGTAATTTCCCTCTCTTAGCAAAATCCT